ATGGAGGCCATACTACCAGACCAAACATATTCTCAAGCACTGGTGATACTTTGAATACGTTAGGTGGGTAAACAAAGAAGCCTCAATGAAGCTAATACCTAATGGTGAGTTTCTAATTTGACCAGTTTTACATGAAGGCAGTAATGCCTCAAATACCACTCACTCTCTAAAAGTAGATGAAATACACAGATGGAGTCTCCTGCCAGTCTCCCTTATGGTAAAATATAGTGCTATATCTAATATCTTGGTGGATGTTTTTCCCAAGTAAGTTTAAGTACATAGGTCCTGGGTTCCAGAACTGATTTGGATTAGTTGACAATTTTTTTTTTTTTTTGATTAGTTGACATTTTTAACAAAGCAAAAACAAAGAGGTTTTTTGTTCTTGTTGTTTTTCTTTTTTTCTGTCTATCTTCTTTCACTCAGATTCCAACACCTTTGCTATGGTTTTTGACAACACCATGTCATAGATTTGTTAACAGTGTATTGCCTGGTATATCTGTTCTAAGAGCTGGAGATCACCTTATTTTCTCAATGTGGTGACATCTTTGACTTAATTATATGTATCCAAAAATTGGTTGGATAATATTAAAAATTAATTCTCTCAGTGGAGATAGCTTAGTCAATTGACTCCTGATTCAGGTCATGATCTCAGGGGACTGGAATCTAGTCTGAGGTGGGTTCAGTGCTCAGAGAGAAGTCTGTTTCTTCTCTCGCCTGTCCCCCAACTCATGCTAGCACTCTCCTCTCTCCCTCTCTCTCACAAAAATAAGTAAATAAAATATTTTAAAAAATTCAGGTCTCTCATTCCAGTGAGATACTGTCCTGGCCATAGCTGCTCAAAGAGTCCTACTCTACACTGTCATTAATAAACCCTCTGGCTAAGACAGAGCAGAATACATCGGGTTGAGGAAGAAAAACTTTAGCCATTAACTTGAAGATTTTGAATTTCAGTTTCTTTGGGCTCCTTATTCTAAAGAGAAAGATAACAAATATATACTTTAAATTCTCTGGACTTCAACTTATTTTGATATTAGCACTCAAGAGGATTTAAATTTCATGCATTAATTTCTCCTAGGTATTTCTTAATGGTACAGGATTTATATTCAAAAGTCTTTGAGTTGTTGGAATTTTATGATTGCAGTACTTTTTACACATTTTATTATCAGATACCCAATATGCCATTTAATCTCACTGCAGAACCACTGATAGATTGGATAATATGATGGGCATAATTTGAGATGCTAAAAAGAAAGAAGAGTTATTTTCCAACCCTGAGTATAGTATGGTCTTGGAGTCAATTGAATTAATGAATTTTCTTCATCCATCTTGCCATCTCCTGGGGATAAAAATCTAAACTTTCCACTCCTGGTCCTAGGAGTATCCATAAAGAAGTAACCAGCAGTGGGGGAACGACCTCATCAGGTGTTGCTTTAGTAGGTAGCTGATCTATGATGGTATGTTCACCATGGACAAATGGCTATGTACAATGTGTTGAAAATATAAAGATCTGGGGAATGATGTGGGGGAGAGTTTTTTTTCTTTTCTAGTTCTTAACATTAGTTGAATGTGGAGTATATAATAATCTTTGTCTCTACCCCTCACTCACTCCTTTCATGTGCTGTGAATTATCCAGTTTTACAGCATTTCAAATGAGATTCTTAAAGGAGAAATGCATAGTTCTCTTCTTTCCCCACCCTTCTTTGGCATAAATTGCCAGAAGAAAGTGTGTCACTCTGTTCTGCCCATCCATGCAGTAAATTTTACCAGGGCAGCTCCCACAAATAGAAATGATGTTTTCTGGTGTTGTCTGAGAATGGGCAACTTTCTAGTATCTTGCTCTGGAACCTGGCCCTTTCTACTATCCTCTGGCTTATGCTACACACCATACTCTCTGATAATTCTATCTGCCCAGGGAAATCCATCATCTGCCTTTCTTTCTTAACTTTTTTTTCCTCAAATGGCCTGAATTTGGGGGGTGGAGAAAAGTGTAATTGATTGTTTCCCCCTCAAATCCTAGGGCTGTGATAAGGCATTGTGTTTCTTGGCTAAAAGGAAGTCAAGACAATTTGTAAGTTTTCAGAGCATCTCCCTGAGCTCAGTGGAAAAGAAAAATATTACCCATATGACTGTTATAGGCTAAAAATACACTGTAGCTAGGAAATACAAATGTTCTCAATTTGAGGAAATGAATAACTATTTAAGAATAACTATTTAAGTGCCTAATTAGAATAATGTGGAAGTTATTTCAGCAATACTTGAGGTATCTTCAACTCTGACCTCCAGCTATGGGACTGTTTGAGCTTCATTATGCTGCCATAGCTACACTTAATCCATCCCACTGTCACAGAATGTTTATTTCCCACATTTCCAGCCCATTAACATCTCTAATACAACATGGGCTTCTACAACCACTCCCAGTCTCAAAATTGGTGAGTTTTGTTTATCAAAGACTCCTGACATCTCTGTATTTAGAAAGCAGAGGAAAGACTTTGTCAGGTAGTAGCTGTGAGTTTACTTAGGGCCAGGTAACTCAGTCTGTATCCATGTAGAAATAAAGATATTCTATGGCTTCATTGTGCCATTGGGGAATGAACCAATATGCTAAGCATCTTGGCATCTCTGGGGAGATTTTAATCAGGCTAGAAGATTATAGGAAATAAGCTAGGTGGCTTCAAGTGTTTTGAAGATGTTTGTGGAGAGTCCTTGTTCCAAGATGTTCCAGAACACAAAGTAGGAATAAGTGGGTAGAAAGCACAGCCCGGAATATTTTAGTTTAATGAAATAGTAACTTTCTAACAATTATATCTGTCCTGCCATGAATAAACTGCCTTTAGTGATAATAAACTGTCTTGGGTCATCTCATGGTGATGTCATCCAAAGGATTCCTACCCCAACTGTCAAATCAGATTGTCCATTTGAACTCTGAGAATCTATGATTCTGTGAAAGTTTTTCTCAAAAGCAAAACACAAGGAAATTTGAATTCCATTTTTGAAGGAGAAAAATTTAATATATTTTATCTTATTATACATTTTACCTAAATTACAAAGTCAATAGCTGCAAATATATTCTGCTACAAAGCTTTCTGTAAGAAATATCTCTATAAGAAAATACATCTCATTAACATTTCCTGTAAATAAATTACTTCAAATAATAATTTTGGGATGTACATAGGGAACTAATGCAAAAAACAGATTGTAAATGTGATTGCTATATAGGAAATGTTTGACTGAAATGTTCCATTTTCATGTTGCCAAGCTTATAGAAACCTGTTTGCACAGACTTTGGTTCTTGGATAGATTAGCTTATAATTTTTGTTTTAGCAGACATGTGGAAAAATGTGAATCTTAATCACCCTTGTAAATGTGTATGGGAAGCTGAAATTCTTAATAGACATGCAGGCTCAGATTTAATCTCTACTGGGAAAACTTGAATTTGAAACTGCAGAAGGGGTTTAAGTAAGAGAAAATTAAGGAGTGACTTGCAGTCTATAAAAGAAAAGGTCAAAAGTAATAACTCTAAGATAATTTTTTGCTTTATGCTCTAGACATAAATATTTAGAACTGAGCAAACTAAAAAAAAAGGTAATAAAATGGTTTCAAAGAATTTGGAACTGTGGTTTCTACAGGTTAGCAATATGTAGATTTTACAAGTTATTCCATTTATATTCTTTACTTTCAATGGCTGCAGAAAACAGAAATGGTATCTTTGGCAAAAAACAAAAACAAAAACAAAAAAAGAGAAACCCAGCTATTAAAGAGAGAGATTGGTACAGAAATTTCAGATGGTGCCATTGGCAAGTTAGAAGTTGATGGAGGACAATAGAACCTTAAGATACTACCTGCCCTGGGAGTCTATTTCATGAGACTTCCTCATACTATTTTAGGACCTCAAAAAATATAAAATAAATATTTTGAGGTCAACTAGTGACCTACACAGAACTCATCTGCATAGTAAATATTGTGGTAGCACATCCCATGGAAAACTTCCATTTAGGTTGTGCAGCCTTGGGATTCCAATATGAATAGTCAGTTTGTGCTTCAGATACATGATCGACATATTGCCAAAACCTGGGCACTTGACGAAGTTTTGTCCATTTCCTTTGTGTCCCTCAGTGCAGCACAAATGTAGATCAGTTTCTGTTTTCAGCTTTTCCTGACTGTGCTGCTACATATGTAAAGAATAAATGGGTTTAGCAATCTAATTCTATCAAACACACGGAATGCCAAAGCTTCAAAAAATAACAATCTGTTAGTGTTGATTCTGTATCTTGGACATCTTAAATTTTTTTGCAATCTGTGAAATTCCACTCTTTATTATTCACAATTAATTGGGATACTTTGGAAAATAAAATATACTCAAGTTCGGAATCACATACAATCAAGAAAATGTAAAATGCCATTCCTTTAGAATGTGAATGGACTGTTTTGTCTTATACTGGTTCTTGGGAATTACCAGTGAAAATCAACTTTTGAAAAATGTAAATAAACAGTTGAAAGCAAAGTAAGTTTGGTTTTTCCTAAAGGCATTCAAAAAAGCCTTGCAATTATTTTGAGATTATTTGGAAAATACTGACTGCTTTTTTTCTTGTCTACCAAGGCCTTTCATTGAGCCATAGAAGTAGCATTCCAAACCAAAAGGTGATTCTGTGTTGCAAATTATCTATGTTCCATGCTTTCATTTCCTATTTAACAAAGCTTTTTATGTTAAAGCCTATTGTATGCCAAGGGACTATTTTGTTAAACTATAACTTTGAATTAGAAATATGGCTTTTAGGTTATTTCTATAGGCAATCACCAATCTGAAGGAAACTGATTCCCCAGCACAACCTAAACTCTTGGAAAGTCATATGGTATTCATCAGTAATTTTCACTGTGTGCTTTTTTTTTTTTTTTCAGTAATAGCATTTTCACAAACGTGCACATTATTTACATGAACAAGTTGAATCATGGAAATGCATCAGTTGTACTACATTTGTTACCCCTTTCTAATCTGCTTATTCTCTTTTCTTTTTTCTCTCTCTGTGATCTCTATATTCTTATCATTTTCCTTATTTGAGCCATTCTTCTGAGATCCAAATCTTATTTTTCACCATGCTATAATGCATTAAATACACAGATTCACAGTCTGCTAGGGATGATTTTCCTCAGAGGTGATCATATTTTCTGACACACATGGAGTCTGGCTTTGGAAGAATAGGTGGCATCTTTCCATACTTTACAGGACAGGCCCTTTGCACAGTCACACCGCTGGAAAATTTCCAGCCCATGAGAGCCCTTCTTGCGCTGTTTGGTACAGACTTCCCCCTGATGGAGCACTGGTTTGCAGATTTTGGTCCAGAAGTGGCGAGCGCAGCAAAACCCTTCGATGCAGTCTGATGATCGTAGGCAGGGGTCTCCTTCATGCCCTGCAGAGATGGTGACCAAAAGATATTATTATGATACTAGGAAAAAATCCTACTTTGCAATCAGAGGTACATACAATACTTTTACTTGTACAGTCTTCCATGAAGTTATCATTTATGATGGGAAGTCTTGGATTCCTATCACTTGACTCTCCCTCTAATCATGTCAATCCATTATTGTCTATTTTGATTAGTTGCCGTCTGAATATCAAGTTTCATGAAGAGCTAGGACTGTGCTTCATCTTCTCTTTACTTTGGCATGGTTTGCTCTTAGATATTTCTCCGATCATTTTTGTTTATGAGGTGAATGAAAAATAAATAAAGAGAACTACTTTCAAGGAAATTAATGTGATACCTTCTTGGAAGGTGTAAATAAACTCTGTTTCAAGGAGAATGCTGAAAATCTCAGGGACACCTAAAACCCTGCATCAGTGTCTAGCCAGGAGAACAGAAACTCAAGATGGAAGATGTTTAATGCAGAGAAGTAGGCATGCAGGTGGTTGCAGGGCTAAGAAGGATCAGAGGATGGTAAAGCAACAGAGCAGGAAGCCACTACCACATTCAGACTGGAGGATCCAAAGGTAAAGGTCATGTCAGCATCTGGGGCCAGGAATCGCTAGCTGGGACTGGAATCCCAAAGGCCCTCCGGACAGGGGGTCTAGTACCGTTCAGTCTCTAAAGAGTTGTGAGTCAGAGCAGAGTAGAGAAAGGGCAGACAGCTCCAGAGTCAACCAAGAACCCATCATTTAAACATGTGGAAGAACAAATCTGGATATTTAATTCAGAAAAAAAGGCCAAGTCAGCAAAGAGCAAACACACATCACAGCTGGGTTGATGTGTCACCTATATAAAGAAGGGGTCAATAAACTTCTCTGTATTTTTGCCAGATTGTATATATTTAGGCTTTTTAGGCCATATGTTCTGTCACTTCTCAATTCTGCTGTCACAAAAGCAGACATAAGTAATGCCTACATGAATCGGCAAGTCTGTATTCCAGCAAAACATTGTTTTACGAAAACAGGCAGTAGGACAGACTTGGCACGCAGGCCATAATGTGTCAATCCTGGCCTAAAGGATTATCTGTCATCCCAGAAGGAACCAGTCCCACTGTGGGAAATGGACATGACCCACTAGCCATTGTCATAAGAGTTCTTCCTAGTTGCCATCAGAAAATTACACATAAAACTATATAAAATTATTAGTAAATTTGAAACTGTACTGTGACATAGCCATCTATTGGAATAAGGAAGGATACTCGTGTAATGACAAATGCATGTGAATTTGGTGGAATAGAAATAGGAGACTGAGGGGTGCCTGAGTGGCTCAGTGGGTTAAAGCCTCTGCCTTCGGCTCGGGTCATGATCCCAGGGTCCTGGGATCGAGCCCCGCATTGGGCTCTCTGCTCGGTGGGGAGCCTGCTTCCTCCTCTCTCTCTGCCTGCATCTCTGCCTACTTGTGATCTCTGTGTGTCAGATAAATAAATAAAATCTTAAAAAAAAAAAAGAAAAGAAATAGGAGACTGGGTAAAGACATAGATCTTCAGGGAGCATAGACAAGGGATAATTGCAGAGGAGCTGTCAATCTTTTTAGCACTATCCATGTCAACATTACTATTCCAGATCTGACTAATAGGTCAGGTATTCTATAGGACACTACCTCTGCAGAACATAAAAATGTGGGGAAATGTTTCTGTGGTCAAGAAATATGGGCACAGGGCACCTGGGTGGCTCAGTCAGTTAAGCCGCTGCCTTCGGCTTAGGTCATGATCCCAGGGTCCTGGAATCGAGTCCCACATCGGGCTCTCTGCTCAGCCAGAAGCCTGCTTCTGCCCCGTCCCCCCCACCTGCCTCTCTGCCTACTTGTAATCTCTGTCAAATAAATAAATAAAATCTTAAAAAAAAAAGAAAAAGAAAGAAATATGGGGACACACAGTGTTTAAAAACCTCATCCAGTTTTCCTCATTGCTGGGCTTCTCAGAGCCCTCAATATACCAATTATATAAAGTTCCCAAACTGGGAGATGCATTATTACAAAACTCTTGAACACAGCACAATTTTATTCGCAGAATGTCTTAAAGGAGTGATGTTCTACAGAATACACTTGAAAGAAGCCTCCTTTAAAGATAGATGTATTTCATGCCTTCAATGTTTTACTATTAGTAGTAAAGTTCTATAATTACATGCTTTCAAATTTTACTGTTAGTGATTAGGCTTCCAAAATATTTTGATGCAAGTAAGGGGATTTTATGACCATATAATCCTACTAGAAACCAATTATTTTTGATAAGTTGGTCTATAAATAGTGTATTACATGGTTGTTTAGTGAAATAAAATTTCTGTAAAGGTGAGAAAAAGATTCAAAAGCTTAGGGATGTAATCATATGACTGCAAACATTTAAAGGGAGGACTGTTTAGAAAATGGCATGATTGATCAGGGGTGCTGCAGTTCTCATAATATATATTCCTAACAATTTAACAGCTCTTAGAAACCTCCAGCATCCTAATAATAAATAATTAATAAATTCAGTTAAAATCTTGCCAACAAAGTAACTTCCTTGTTTTTTTTTCTAAAACCAATGCAATGAATTATCAATATTTTAATTCTACTTCCCTTCAAACAAGAAAAAGTAAGCATAGAGTTACAGATTTCCTACCTTTTATGTGTGACATCTTAGTGTGTGGTCTTCCTAGATTTTGCCATCCCAAGTCGTGGTTTGAGTAATGACCATGGTTTCGATCTCTATGTCGGGAGCCATCCAGAGCTGGGATGTGAGGGGTTAAGATGCTCTCAGTGACAGGGATGCAGATGCCTGGAGATAACGAATAAGTAGTTAGACTGATTCAATTCTATAAAGTCCGATGCTTATCCAGCCATTGTGCTGATGTGAGGTATGACACTATCTCTTATCTATTTATCTATTTACCTATCATCTATCTATCCTCTATTCATTCAGCTATTCTCTTATTTACATAAATAATATTGAATCATATTACATAATATGAAATAGAATTAAATCACTGAACCTAAGTCAGGCTTCCTTAATTTGAATCTCATCTCTCTCAAGACCAAGTGACTGTGGGCGAAAATAGGAATAAAAACACTTCATTAAGTTGTGAATACATGTGAAGTGTTTAAAATAATAACTTAGTATTAAATTAATATTAGCTATTTGTACTTTTAAAATGTCTGACCAGATATCCATCTTCAGGATCCAGTTTCCTTTGTTCATCAAAAATATAACCTTATTCTACATTATAAACATCTCTAATGGCATGAGGTCTTCTTCCCTTCACCTGTCCGAGGTACTTTCAATAGGACTCTGCCCAGAGGTCAGGAGCATGTATACAGCTAGAGGTCTGATTATCTTGGTTTATATGACTACGTTTATGTTTCTGATCACCTTCTGCAATTTTTTAATGGTTTTATCCTGTGTTGTCCTTGAGTCATTGATGAAATGATGATGTCATTTCACCATTATTGCTGAATTGTCTCCCTATAAATTCATTGAGATTGGGTGAAATCATGCTTATGGAAAGGCTGAGGAACAGACTCCTGCGTCTCTGTTTGGAGGAACCACTCACTCCTTCACTATGAGTGTGGTGCAGGGTGGGGCCTTTAAAAGAAGACACCCTGAATATAAGAGTCAAAGTATGGACCTGGAAGGACTCACCACCATATTGCTAAATCACAGCAGGTTCTTTGCTCTTCTCACATGTATTCACTTATGTGTTTATAGATACTCATATAAAACACTTCAGCATGGCAAATCCTAGATTGCCATAGAATATAAAATGTAGAAATAGAGATCAGAGCCCAGGAAAACTAGAATTGGGGAGGTAATCCAAGTAACCATACACCTATCTAAACCATGATCCAATCCCTGCCAGTTTGGAAAGGCTCCTTGCATTTCAGGGGTCTGGTTAAGGAGAAAGTAGTTGAATTAGCTAGACATGCCTCCTACATAAAAAGAAAGAGGCCTATTGACACTGAACTAGATCTTTACCATTATTGCAGCGGGTCCCGGGACAACACATGCCATCTCTATGGCAGCGCTTCTTTTTCCTTCGACACACCATGCAGGCCGAGGATCCTTGGTGGGGACTGTGGCAATATCTCCCAATTTCACATTCCTTATCACTGCTACAAGGGTAGGCCTGTCAGAAAGTGCAACAACAACACCAAACACAAAGTAGATTAGATTCCGTCACACTTAATGAAAAGTCAGTGTGGGAAATCATGGTGGGAAATACATCACAGTAGGTTTCTCGTCAAAGGAAATGTGCCATTGAAATCATGTCTGAGCATGGATCCTACATAGAGACATTTCCTTCATCGAGGACCCTATAAATATTGATTGTTGGTGGGGACAAAGATAGAGTTGATGCTATTCCAGTATTTTTGAAGACACAACGTTGGAGCTGGGATTTATATTTTGTGTGAGTCCGTAGAGAGCTTTTAAGAATAACTTTGGGGGCTCAGAAATAGTTGTAATTGTAATAATGACACTGATTTATGGTGTAAGTGAAACAGCTTCACTATTCCATTTTTCTTCTACTAAACTGGATAAGAAGAAGTTTAAATAAACAACAAAGGACTGTGCTAGAAGCTAAAACACATCTCCTGCCTCATGAGGGAACAATTACATTAAGAGTGACTCTCCACAAATTCTGTCCATGAGGATCATGGCAGAGAATCACTTCTAGAACAGTGTGAGGTAACAAGCTATTTGGCACAAAGAAATCAAGGAGCAGGGTCCTTATTCCAATGCAGGAGGTGAGCAGCAGTGGGGTTCTGAGTGGTAAGGGAAATGCTCAACTCCAATGGCATTGTGTTCTCAGGAAATGAAAAGGAAGGCTCTTTATATACAAAAAGAACCCTATGGCCTACAGCGCCTTCAATTTATACAGAAAGGACCCAGTGTCTCCATTTCTCACCATGTGAGGCTACTTAAACAGTACCCTAGATGATCTCCCAAAATAAAAATACATGCTCCACTTATGTACTCCTTGCCTCTTGGAAGTGTTCAGGACACCCAAAATGTCCCTGTCTGCAGAGACGGAGTTGAGAAATTGAACTGCCATGCCACACATCAAACTTCCTCATGTTTTGAAGCATGTTGACAGGGAGACTTATTTATAAGTTGTTTTTCTTTTCTTTTTGTAGTTCTTTCCTGTTTTCAGAGTAATGGATTTTTTTTTTAATTGAAAAATAAAAAAAGTAAAAAGAAGCTATGTAGTTGTTTTTAAGCCTGCATAAATGGTATGAAGGCAAACCTATGGGCTAAAGTTCTTGCGACTCTCAAATAATTAGTGGGATTTGAGTGCTTTGCTTATGAAATGAGGTCTGGTGACCTAGGTCTGCATGCATGGTCTATTTCTTTTCCCTTTTTTTCTCCCTCTCTTACACTCTCTTCCTTCTGCCTCCCACCCTTCTGCTATGTGTGGCTACATTCAGTGTCCCCACGTCTTTTTGTTTCCATCAGATCCTCTTCAGCTTAACAGAGGAAATAAATGTGAAGCTGATATGTAAGGTTGAAGACTACATATTCTATGGGAGAAAACACTTTCAGCTTGATTACAAGAGGAAAATCACAAATTTCAAGTTGCAAGTGCTTTTGAAGGATTATATGGTGGTCATGTTTGATGCCTACATTATAATTGTAGCCAAATAAAGTTATAAAATGAATTTTCATATTATTGTCCCATTCTGGATCTCCATCATTAGGCTTAATGGAGAATCTGAATGAGGTTAAATTCAGAATATTAGTCCATTTTTCAAGATTCCAAGACTGATGAAAACAAAACAAATGTCACTTCCCGCCTTGCCACACTCTTTCCCTCAAGCACTTTACTCCCTCCACAGCTAAACCCATTAATTTTAAGTGAAATACAATTCACATGTTTCTGATTCATTTACATTTATTTCATCAAATTGTTTTGCAAGAAACATTTGATGTCTTACAAGTTTTTTCTTTTTTGCTTCCTTAAAAATAGGTCATGCTCTTTCAATGGAAATACACATGTGTTACCTAAAACATCATGAGCAATTTGCAACACAAACAACAAATCTTCAAGAGATTCTGAATACAGAATAATACTTAATTCCATTCCTAAAAAAATAAAATAAAAACAATAGTCTATAAGGTAGCAAACAAGTTGCTTGCTAAAAATAGCAGTTCATTTTGCAGAAAATTGTAGAAGATACATCATTAACTTCCCATTCTCAGTTTGTGGCAAATGGAATTTCCCACAAATGCTTGAAATGGAAAATATTTGATGCATGGCACACCTGGGTGTCTCAGTTGGTTGAGCATCCGACTCTCGGTTTCGGCTCAGGTCATGATCTTAAGGTCAAGAGATCGAGCCCCACTATTTGTTCCACACTCAGCATGGAGTCTGCTTTAGATTCTCTGCCCCTCCCTCTTCCTCTGCCCCTCCCTCTTCCTCTGCCCCTACCCCCACTCTCTCTCTCTCTTTCTAAAATAAATAAATAAAATAATTTTTGTAAAAGAAAATATTTGATGCAGATGATATTGCAAAAAAGTAATATGTATAGTAGTCCTCTGTTTGAATGGGATCACAGTAAAAATCTCACAAGTTTTTCAGAGGAAAGCTTAGTTGGTCTAAGAGATAAAATATGTTAGAGGAAATACAGTGTTATTATGCTATTTTTGTAGTTTTACTTAAAGCCAATTTAAATAGAAATGACACAGGCAGAAAAAATGCAGAATTTTATGTGATAAAAGATTATTGTTAATGTGATCTTGCACTTGAAATGCAATCCCAGGACATAATATTGAGAGCAATTCTTTGACTATTGAAATAAAATTTTAATAATCAAAATGCGAGTTTATATTATATGGCTTCTAGTATGCTTATGAAACTCCTTGCTCCAATAAACAGCCTTCAAATATGAATAAAGTAAATGATAAGACAAATTGATTGAAGCAGGTCTTTGGGAAAGCAAAGAAGACGGGAGCGTGCTTCACCTTCTGAAATCATTGTCTCCCAAACCAGATCTACTCAGCCATATAGCTTCCTTTGGCATAACCATTAGCAACAAAACACAGAACATGGGAAAATATGGATCTAAACCATTAATAGCAGTTCTCATATTTTCAGCCTAATACATTATTTTTTAATAAAGAGCTTTAAATAAGACATTTTCATCTCAAGGATGAGTTCTCTGCAGCTTGCTAGTTTCTTCCATTTCCCCCTTAAAATGTCTGGAAATGCTATCATAGCAGGCAAGAGAGGAAGGGAGGTAGAACGGGAAGGAGGGAGAGAGAGAGAAAGAGAGAAGGGAGAGGGAAGCACATGGTTAAAGTAGTTATGGATGATTCTGAAGTAGTGATGACTGTGGCATTAATAGGCCACTGAAGGGAATTGTATACATTAATAAAAGTGCCATTCAGAAACTTTCCCATAGAAAAATCTTTATTTTCTGCTTACTTCAGCCTCAAAGCCTGCTGCTTTTCCCATCTGATGATGGTTTTATGGCATAAAAAAAATGAATTTGAATATCTTAGTTTAACTTTTCATTTAACAAAAGCAATAATATGCTTCCCTATTACTTATTTGTATAAATTAATAAGAAGACCAATTTTTTTACTTGCTATGGAAATTATTAATAGTGAATTTGCATGGTTCTTCATTGACTTGTCTAGATGAACAGTCTGAGGAAAGGTGACATTGGGCGGCATGAGCATCCAGGAATACTTGCTTTGACGCAAAAATCATTCATGACTTAGCCTCAGTCACAATTAGGACATGGGTTCATTTGAGACACCTAATAATAGCAGATGATGGGCCATGAATTAAGAATATATGAGAGCTGTCCATGATCAGGCCAAAAAACAAAGAAGTTTTGCCCAACCCCTTTTCTAGGCTAAAAATAGAATGATTTCTGTAAATAGCAACACTAGTTAGACATGAACTAAAAAAAGAGTGAATGCATTGGACACAGCTTAAAAATAAAGTCCACCAAACATGAGCATTTCTTTTTCGTATAAAGGATATTTTTTTTCTATCTGTTCCTCTGTGCTAATGCTGAATCATTATTTAAAATTCTAGCAATGAAATAAAGAGAGCACAAGTAACTTCTGAGGGTAAGTACTATGTGCTCAGAAGCAGAGAACTTGGGGATTCAGGGTCCTGCCCTGGCTCTCTGGCCTCCCTACAAGGTATGGTGATGAAGAGAACGATCTCGTGACAGTCTGAACCACACATAGATAAGGGATTTTCAGTGCTGAACTGTGCGCCAAATTCGGAGAAGAGAAAAGTAAACTTGGCCACTTCTCTCTCTAGAAGCCTGCAAATACCAACAACACGTCCTGGTGCAGCTGTGGCATAGAGAGAGAGAGTACGGCGGGCAACACGGGAAACACCGTAAAAAACATTTTCTCATTTCATTTCTCGACAACAGATTTGTGTCCCCTTAAACTCAATGTAATCAGAATTACAAGTAAAGGCCCATCACGCAATTAGTGATAATTAAATAATATTCTAAAGAATGAAATAAAATGAAATGTAACTCCATCTTATTTGAACTAATTGAGCTCCCCCCCCCTTTTTTTTTTCGATTATTCTCAAAACTGCAGGGAGAAAAAGACCTGCTAATTTGAGATTAAGATTCGGGGTGAAATTTATTCTAATTTTTCAGGGCTACCCATCCCTTTAAACATACAGATGTGACGATGACGGAATCAGACCCCTAAGAATAATGACACAGAAAAAAAGTGTTTTAGGGATCTCAGCAGTACCAGCTACTGAACAAAATTTTGGTCACAACTAAAACCTTAGTGTAGCTCCTGAGTTTTCAAAATAATGACCTTGTTCCTGTTTAATGATGGGGAGAAAAAAAAAGAGAGAGAGAGACATCACATAGTGTTCATGTGGGCTGGCCACCCATCCGGATTCTTGCAAGACCGTCCTAGTTTTGTTGTTATTGTTTTAATCGGGACAATCCTTTGTCCCCGCAAGCACTGTTTGTAACAATCGGAAGTTTTCTGGAGCCAGAAAAACATCATCAGCTGGGCAGGCAGAAGAAAGCCTGCAGGGGGACGACCCAGCTGTGGCAATGAAAAACATTTGGGGCGAGTAGATAGAAGGAGGTAGCTGCAAAGGATTGGGGAGTAGAATGTCTGGGGTCTCAA